TCAGGGGTGGCAGTTTGGGAAGGCAAGATTTACATCCTCGGAGGTTACAGCTGGGAGGAAGCTGTCTTCTCCAAAACAGTTCAGGTTTATGACAAGGAGAAAAATAAATGGTGCAAAGGGACGGACTTGCCCAAAGCCATTGCAGGAGTGTCCGCGTGTGTCTGCGCGCTGAAACCCAAAACAGAGGACAAAAAGAAAAAGACAAAAACAAARAAACATCAAGATCGAGGAAGATGACCACTCCTGGATAGCCACCCTTGGATGGTGGGCTCCAAAAGGACCTTGTATTTAGACATTTCTATCTAACTTTCATTCTTTTTCTTTTTAAATGGGGTGGGGGGCATCTTCTGAAGCCTCAGAAAATGTACACTTGAATGTGGTTTTTGGATTAAACTCATGTTGAAAGTAAAAACAACAAAAGAAACCAAAAACTCCCCCTCTTGCTATACAAAGGGCGATGTGGCCAGAGAGGTTCTGCTGCTCTCCTGAATGTTAAGGCTTAAGCTTTTCCTTCTGTGGTTCATGGCATTTCCACATACATCGTATTCTATTGACGTTTTAAGGAAGTTTTTAAAAACAACTTTTATACTTTTTTATACCACATTTTGCTAACTCAGTCTCTCGTTTGCCATATGTTATGTTATTGACTATGGAAGCTGCTGCTCTGTGCTCGTGACCCTGTTATCAGGAACTCCTCGTTTGATGATTTTTGGTCTCTGTGTGGCTCGGCCAGGACGTGGTGCAGCTGTTGGAGCAGCACTGGCATTCCCAGCATTGTCAGGCAGTCAGCTGGAATTGGGACTATTGTCTCAATTCCAGCTTCCCCAGAGCCCAGCTCGCCAGACATGCTCATAAACACGCTTTATTTCAGCGACTCCTGAYCTGCTGAGTGGATTTTAAGGGCTTTGGTTTGAAGTTCAGCTGTTGATCATTGCTGTTATTTTTTCCTCAGTCCTTTCCCATCCCATCTCCCTTTTCACCTATTTCAGATTTGCCTTTTCTTCCATCTGGTGTATGTGCAGGTGATATCCTGCTACCCTCATTCTTTTGTCTTTTTTTTTTCCCTTAACTACTTACCTCAGTAATTGGAAAACACTAAGAAAACTTTTTTGCACTTAATTTTGTTTGAAACTCTGGTAAATCTAAGATCTACTACAAGCACACGTGTATTGAAAGAGGTARCTGAATAAATGTCTGGAGTGCAGGAGATTATACCTTGTTTCTTCAATGCTAAGAAAACTAGATGGAATTAATTTTCTGAAACTCCTTGAGGTTTTTTTTGCTGTTTTTTTAATTAAAAAAAAAAAAGCCTCGGGAGTCAATCTTTCATTTGCATTAATGGATTTATTTTAAAGCCTTTGTATACTGCATGAGGTAATGGTTATTGTTTTTTAGCTTAAAAATAAATTTAAAACAAAACCAAAAAACCCAAATCAAACATTTTGGTTATGACAAACCCATTGACAAGTTGTTTGGGTTTTTTTTTAGTACCTGAAATCCTTGCTATGCTGACTGACAACTACTTAACTTTTTGGGGACATTTTCATGTGTTAAGTATAGAACAAAAATTTCAAAGACTTGCTTTGTTTCTGTTACTGGGTTGCTTGTTACTATATCCCCTCTTTTAACGTGTTTATGTATTACATTAATGTCTGGGAACAATAAATCCAGTTTAGAATATTCTATTCATCACTTTCTGACTTGTGTGTTGATTTCACTGAGGTTTGCCTTTTTTGATTAATTGGAAAAAATAATCCCGTAATCATTTTCAAGTGGAGATGATAATGGAAATACTTCAATAGGAAGTAGAAATAGAACTTATTTGACTAATTCATCTTTTCTGCGTTGAATCATTCATTATAATCTTTCTGCTCCAGGCAGAAGAGACATGGGGGAATGGCTCCTCACCGACAGAGGGCAGGGTTAGATAATGGGATAATGGGAAGGAATCCTTCCCTGGGAGGGTGRKGAGGCCCTGGCACAGGGTGCCSAGAGAAGCTGRGGCTGYCYCTGRATCYCTKGAAGTGTCCAAGGCCAGGCTGGACATTGGGGCTTGGAGYGACCTGCGATAGCRGAAGGTGTCCCTGCCYATTGCAGGGAGTAGAATGAGATGAGCTTTAAGGTCCCTTCAACCCAAACCAGTCTGGGATTCTGYGAAATTCCAATTCACATTTTTGAGYTCTGACAAAARACCCAGTTCAGTCTGTAGAGTGCTTTTCCCAAAGATAGTATTTAAGGGGGTGTAAACAGTTACAATTTCTTAACATTAAATCTAATTTCATTGACAAAAGACAGCTTCAGTGCTCACCAAAGGCATCCTTGCTTCCCCTGGTCTGTGTGTTGTCTGTCCTTCCAAAGCCAGTGGCTGTGAGTGAGTGTGGGACATCTCCCGTGTCATCAGAGGTCACTGGGCGTTCGTACTTGCTGCCAGAAGCATTTTTCTGTTCCTAAAGGAACAAGCGATTCCCATTTGCACCTCCGAGCCCATGGCAGGGAGCTCTGCCAAAGGCACATTCTGGCAGAGTGCCCCTGGATTTGGGATGTTGTGTATCCAGACATGGCTGATCATCCCTCCATTAGCAGTTAGCAGACAGCACAGGGAGCYTGGAGATCCCAGCGGCTTTGGGGAACTGGTGCGCTTGAATTCCTGAAAAATGAAAGGGAGAATATATGTGACAAGAGTGGATTGCTGCTCTGTTTTTTGAGGTCTGAACAGTTCTGTTGGTGAGTAATTAGGGTCGGTAGAAGAAAGGTGYATCCTCCTGGTTCAGCCTGGCTCCTGAACCTTCACATCCCACTGCCTTCATCCCTAAGCTCTGTGAAGCATTTTACTCTTGCCAGGAAGCACAGCTCTTTCTTCTTGCCCCAGGGAAAAATAACTAMTGTTCTACCTCATTTTTCAGAAGGCTTCCATTGCCAAATTCTGAGGAAAGCTTGTTCTACCTGAAACAAAGCAGCTACCAAAACCCTCAGGTTTGCTCTTCCCACCCTTGCATGCCTGTATCGTGGCATCGGCATGTCAAGGAGTGCTGCCTGTAACTCTGACGTTAGATAACAAATCCCTCGAGGTACCCTGAGGAAAAATTACACCCTGCTGTGAGACGCAGTTGTTTTGAAGGCTTGAGAAAGAAGATGGAAATATTTTTGTACTCCAGTTGAAATCTTAAACTGAGAAAAATGTGCTGGTGTCTTCCTGTGTAAGAGATCAGACTGCTTTCACTGCTTTCTTCCAAAGGCTGCTGATTTTCCGCGTACTGTTTAGGATTCTGGATTCTTGCGTGACAGCAAAAAAGGGGTCGTATGTCTAGGGAATGTCAAGAAATAATTTAACCTTCAGTACTCCTTCTGAGAGCAATTTAACTTGCAGAAGACAAGCCCAGATTTGAATTGTGATTCTTCCCTTGATGTTATGTCTTACCAAAGCTCTGACCAGTAAGAAATTTTTATGAAAAAAAAAAAAAAGAAAAAGCTGGTGTGACAAGCTTTAAACATTCTTGAGCTATTTCRGTTCTCATGAATGTAATAATGAACAAGATGCTAATTATTCCTTCATGAACTTMGGGYTTTGGRGTGTCYTAGGGATCAGGTCAGGGCAGATGGRGAGGTTCTGTCATGGTACTGTGCCAGTCAGAGCACAGCTCAGCTACTCACAGCTTCCTCCTCTTTCCTGGTGACTACACACCAGGAGGGACATAGCCCAGTCACGGGGTTGTTGATGCTACACACAGCTTTTAGTTCCTTCTGGAACTCTGAGAAGCTTTGGGAAAAAAATGTTGTTTTTATCATGATAGGTTTGGTGACAGAAAATGAGGGGAAGGTGGGATGGACACTTGATGGTTCTTTTGAGGCTCCAAGAACTGAAATAGATGATTGAATGAGAAGAAGACTTGTATTTAAGATAAGGACGAATAAGTCACAATTAATTAGCCAAAAGTTCTGCAGAGGTAATTGAAACACTGACTCAAGCATCCACATGATCTGCTCAAGGCTTGTCCACACTTAAAATCTGTTTCACGTTGGCTTGAACTAGTCYATGCTTTAGCTTTTTACATCAACAAATTTGTTGCAAATGTCCAGCAAGTTTAAGAATACAGAGTTTGAAGTCAGGTTTGCATTAACCCATTTTTGGAATTAAATAGYTGCTGTTTGTGCCCTGTGCTATCTGATTCATGGTTCCCACCTGCAGAACCATTCCTGCCCTGCTGCTCTCAGGCTCCCTTTGCTCCCTCCCAGTGCCTGCTGCTGGGAAAACGCTCAAAAAGTTCAAAAACTATGATGTAAGCTTGATGATTCTTCAATCTCTGATGATGACCTAGAGCTGGCTGGTTCTCTACTGAAGATTTGAAATATCCTACTTTTTAATATGAGCCAACCGACCCTCCCTGAGATCCAGCCAGGGGAGGTGACTGCTGCTGGCAAATATTTTATGTAGGYAAAGCCCTTATTGGACCTAGAAACTGTTGGGATAAAGGTTCTGCACCTCTGAAGAAAACATCTTGGGAGTGCCTGAAGGTCTTGGCAAAGAGGAAACTCTACAAGGACAGCACTAAACCTGCCACTGTCATCAAGWGGTTCCTGCATTGCTCCAAGAAGGTATTCCCTCTGTCCCTGAAGAAGTGGATGTKAGGGTCCCAAGCGCTTTAAATCCCCAAAAGTCATCCTCAGAAGTGCTCAGAAGTCATGTGCACACATCTCCCAAGCACTGTCATGAGCACAGATCTCATGACCCAGTGAAATCACATGGAGTCCCCAGCWCTTTGCATTTCCAGTAGGATAAGAGCAATTACAGCAGCACCTGGGAGGCAGATACCTTGGGAGTGGTTTACCCAGCTGCTGTCAGACAATCCCTTATTTCCACAGCCATGGACCTCATTTGTTGTTGRTAAATTCACATGATGTTAGGAACATTACGGCATGAATCTTAAGAATGTGGATATACAGAAAGAAAAATACAACACTGGTTATATTTTTTTTTTCATTTGGAAAAGCAACTTCTTGTTTTGGAGGGATACTTCATAGCCACTGGTATAAAGGATGGAAGAAAATACAACCTTTTTATGCAATGAAAGCCGTAATGAAATAACTTGCCACTAAAACAGGCAAAAATTAATAAAACAGAACCGAGCTGGGAACTTTGCAGCAGGTAAGTTTCATCAAAGCATGGTATTACAAAKAAAAACCCTTAGATTATTAGAAAATGCTATGGCAAAGTGTTAACAGGCTTTATAATTATACTAAGATGGGATMAAATCAAACATGTTTTAAATGTTCCTGAATGAGACAGTGACATCCTTMCTGCCCACCTCAGTTTTCACCCTGAGCTCTGAGTTTTAATAGTTTTGGTATTTGAATTTTCTGCTTTCCAAGCTGAAGACACTGTGCTCATTTGTATTTTGAAACAGTCCGTTTACTCAGGCAGCATTGTGGGCAGAAGGGAATTTTGCCTTCAACCAGACGAGCCACGTAAGGGTTTTCRCTCCATTATTTACCTTGTAAATTAGACTCCCGAGGGGAAAGGGGCTTTCAGACGTTTGAAATGCTGTATGCAAAAAGCCTGCACATTTGTCTCCCTTTTTTGTTTCTCCCTTTTAATATTAACCAGCCATTTTCACCGGCGGTTCTCTGCCTCAGGACAGCACAGCAACACTTGCGAGAGACAAAAGCGAGGGAGCGGCAGCTGGGTGTGTCAGCTGGAAGGGCAAAGGCTGATAGAGAAAATCATTTACTGTCATCAGCACACAGTAAGTGTTGCACTTCACAAAACAGGAGGGACATGTCCTTGTCGTGGAGACGGGKAGGAATCTCTTTCCCACTTTCCGTGAACAGCAAAGACATAAAGTTCTTGTGTCTTCTTCCTTTTCGTCTCTTCAACTTTCTYAGTGATATAAAGTTGTGTCTATCACTTGCTCCCCAGCCGAAGTCGACTTTTGCTGGACTTGGTAGTTTGTTTACGGAAAAAAAAAAATATGGAGTAAATTAGAGATTAATTTGATGGATTCTTGCCTGGGGGTTTCAGTATTGTTATGACTCAATCCTCTCAAAATCATGAGATTGGCTTAGTCATTCTTTTTTTTTTTTTTTTTTTTTTTTTTTTCCCAGATACAAACACTGAACCCATTCTCACCCTGGTTGTTTGGGGCAGAGGTGGAACAACTTCGCTCTGGCATCATCTGGGCACAGAGCCTACCTGTCACCTGCCAGTGTGACCCTTGGCACATGGCCTTTTACAGATGAAATTTGGACATTGGGATGAATTTCTTCATAGAAAGGATGATTAAACACTGGAATGGGCTGYCCAAGGTKGGGGTATCACCTTCCCTGGAGGTGGCCAAGGAATGACTGGACGTGGCACTCAGTGCTCTGCTCTGAGTCGTCAAGGTAGGGGTTGGTCACAGGTTGGACTTGATAGTTTTGGAGGGCTTTTCCAACTTAATTAAGGAATCATGGAATTGTTTGGGTTGGAAGGGATCTCTGGATACCACCCAGTCCAATCACCTAGCTAAGGCAGGGGCATCTGAAGCAGGTGACACAGGAATGTTTCCAGGTGGGGTTGGAATGTCTCCCTCAGAGATTACACACCTTCCCTGGGCAGCTGTTCCAGTGCTCAGCCACCCTCAACGAACAGAATTTCCTTCTCATATTGAAGTGAAACTTCTCGTGTTTTAGTTTATGGCCATTACTGCTTTTCCTGTGGTTGAACACCACGCAAAAGGGTCTGCCACCATCCTGACCCAGGGTGCCCATTGAAGCTGTGGCTGCCCCTGGATCCCTGAAGTGTCCAAGGCCAGGCTGGACATTGGGGCTTGGAGCAATCCAGTAATGGAGCAATGGTAGTGGAACGCGTCCCTGACGATGGCACGGGGTTGGAACTGGAAGAACTTTAAGCCCCCTTCCAACCCAACCCATCCCATGATTCTGTGATCCTTCTGACACCCACATCGCCGATATTTTATACACCTTAAAGAGATCCCCTCTCAGCCTTCTCTTCTCTTGGCTGAACACGCCCCGCTCCCTCAGCCTCTCACAGGCGAGATGCCCGCTGGTGTGTTCCGTGTAAGTTTTTCGGGCTCCGGGCCCGCCGCGCTCCCCTCAGGGAGGCGGATCCCGCTCCCGCCCTTTTCCCTCAGCGCGCTCCGCTCCCGCCCCGTGCGCGCGCAGCGGGAGGGCGGGGCCGGCGCATGCGCGGTGCGGCGCGCGCCCGCCCGCCCGGCCCGGCTGGTGCGTGCGAGGGAGAAGATGGCGGCGGCGGGGGCGGCGGCGTGAGGGGCCGGGACCGCCGAGCTCCCCGGGGACGCGGGGCGCCATGGCCCTGCACGGCGCGCAGGTACCGCCCGGGCCCGCGGGCAGCCCCGCGGCACCGCGCCCGGACCCCTCCGGGCTCCCGGCGGCGGGCGGGCCCCGGGGTGGGGGGGGGGGAGCGTGGTGGCCGGGAGTAGGCCCAGGGTGATTGTGCACGTTCATTGAATGTGCTGAGGGCGGTGGGGCGGCCTCGCTGCCCGCGGGGACCGCGGATCCGGCGCTCCCGGGGCGGAATTCCCATCCCGGAGGGGTCCGGAGCGCGGGGGGTCGGCCGGGCGCCGGTGTCGGTGTCACCACGCCGGGGCCCGGGGTGGGGGGTGTCGGTGCTGAGCCCCCGCCCGAGGGTGGCTCGGACAGAGCTCATCGCTCCGGCTGCTCTTTTTTATTTTTTGGAGGGGGGGAGAGGCAGAAACGATTCTATAACGAGAAGGGAATAAGGAGATTTGTAAACTAATCCTCCCCCCTCCCCCCCGCCCAAACACTCGATAAACCCCAGCGCATCGGGGTGCAAAGGGCTGAGTGTTGCAAGATCGCCGTGCACGGGGATGCGTGTGCGGATTCCCTGGATCCCACTGGCTGAACCAGCCGGGAGATTTGTGCATCGAGTGGAAAAAAAAAACTGCAGTCGTGGTGGTTTTTCGCTGGAAGTTTACAGCTCGGTTCCTGGGCTAATCCAGTGTGTGCTTAGAGCGAATGATTGAATGGGTTCACTTCGGTGTTTCTTTCCCTTAAGGTTTTTCTCCCAAAGAGCTTGAAAGCAGGAATGTCAGGAAAAGCGTGTGGAGCACTGAAGTGTTTATTTTCAAGACTTAGAGAAACTTTTTTTTTTAGCAAATAATAAAGTTTGGAAAACTGGTGGCGTTAAACATAATTTTGTTAAGAATTCGTGTCTCCTATCATAGAAAACACATTTCGTAAAATGTAAGTCATTTCGAGCAAGGTGATGCTTTATTATGAATTCTATGGGGTTTGGTTATATTTTCTGAATGAAGTTAAAGTACACATCAATTGAAGTTGTGCACTCGTGGCACTGACACTGATATTTCCATTAAAAAAGTTTGTAATCGGTGAACACTATACTGACATTTCTTGTCCAGCTTGATTTATTTATGTCTGAGAGAAAAATGTGAGTGCTTTCGTTAATGTGGGTTTTCTTAAGGCAGTTGCAGTTTCTGGAGTTTGTTTCAAAGTTAGGAATAATTACAAAATTTTGTATCCTTCAAGTTTTATTTCAAAGTGAAGGAAACTCACTTTTGGACCTTTTTTTGATTGTCCCAATGAATGGTTTTTGGAATGCAGATATATCAGAAGAATTCAATGTCCAATCAAGAGTTGTGTCACTCCCTGCTTTCTCCCCCYCTCAGCACTCAGCAGTGCATGTGGTCAGTTTGATAAGTTTGGTGTTTACAATTCAGCTTTTTTTGTGATTTAGAAGAGTTAAGGATGAGTTTTGGTCTGTACCTTGATTTTGTTGGTGTACCTTCAAACAAAACAAAGTTAAGCTGGTGATGTAGTTTATGGTGAAGTGCTGCAYAGCTCAAATTAAAACTAGGCGGTAAATTCATCTTTGGTAGCAATTTGAGCGTTCACAATTTTAAATCATCCCCCTCTATAGGTAAAGGAAGATATTTAGAATCTGTGAGGCTCCTGCTTAAATTATAGTGTATTATTTCTGTAATRTAGTTTGTAAATAATTTGGAACATACATGATCTGAAGCACATTAGTGAGCTATTGTTTAGGTAATGATTTGTTCATGTCATTAAACACAGCTTATTTTTGTGTTTTGGGGTTTTTTCAAATTTAAATAGTTTATTGAGATGCTGTTTGGGATTTATGGGAATACATCTTCCAGAACACTGTGGTGCTCTAATGCTGAATTAAGGTAACAATGTTTTGGACCCTTTTGGATGAAAAGCCTAAAGATAAGTTCGGGGGTGCTGTTTTACATGTAGGTGTTTCCTTTTTGGTTTAGGATGGTAGTGTTGCAGATCAGTATAAAAAAGAAGAAAGTTTTGATAAAATTTGTCTATTCTGAGCACAAGATAAGCACGATTATTGAGTCACTGTGTTTGTGTCATGATGCAGAGGTGGACAAAAGTGTGTTGTTCTTCCGTATCTCTAATTTGGGTGTACCATCACTTAGGCATTTTTTGTTACACAGGGGAAAAAACATCTTCAGGAAAATGCTGCTGCTCCTCCAGCTAAAATGCAGAGTCAGGTTTCTGCCAATGGATGAATTCATGGAGTAGTGGGCAGAAATATTTCATCAGTCAGTTTGCACATTGTGACAAATGAATCCCGAAACACCATCATATCCAATATTTCCAAAGGGACATTGATTTTAGATGCTCCAGCTCATCAGCGAGCACAGGAGTGTTTGATAACACAGTTTAGATATTGCTGGTCGTTTGTACCTCTCTTCCATGTCGCTATTTCATAATCATCTAATGAGAGATTTAAGTGTTGCTGTCAATCTGCTGGGTGTGTGCTGACTGTATTCACAATCTGTACTTTTTTTAAGGTGAGCTAGAAGTAAACCTGCTGTATCACTCCATGACACTAAGGATGTTAAGCTGCTCTAGTTAAAACCACTTGTCATCAAGGGCATCTAAAAATCTCTTTGAAAAAAAAAAAAAAAGACAGCTTAAAAACTATTTCCTTGTTTGGAAAGAATAAAACTCTGTAGGAACTGTATAAACAGTTGTTTTAGCCATTTTTTCTGTTGTTTTTCATAGAAAGAATTAATACAGACGCATCATTTGTAAATCCTGTGAAAACAAGTTAAGCAGAAGAAAGGATACCATAGCAGAATGAATCATTTATGCTTGTTTTGTTCTTTCACCATTACTGTGGTGTCAAATGAACTCGGTGCCATTTTAAATGTACCACGTTTCCCCCAAACCCAGCTGAAGTGAAAACCGGGCGGGTTTGAGCTCAGAAAAAAAAAGCTGAACAAGCTCCTAAGCTGCTCATCCTCACCCAGGTTGTGTCTGGCCTGGCAACCAGAAGAACTGGAACTCGGAACATGGCATGCAACCTGACTCCCTGAAATACTGCACTGCAAACTGCCTCTTTTATGGCTGGCTTGGAGGGTTGCTYCCTGGCAGGGTGTAGTTTGATGTTTCCTTAAGCCAGGGCTCTTTCTAGAAGACAAAAAAAAAATTAAAAGCAGTCTGCAGGCATTTGTTCTGCCTTTGCAGTGCATTGCCTGATGTTTGGTGATTAGGAAATCAATGTCTCAGAAATTAAAAAAAATGGTTGTTACAGCTGGATGAGTTTCTTGTGTACATATGTGTAATGTTGGAATGTCCTCACGGGCAGAAAGAAGTGTCTGGGGACAGGGGAGTGTGGATTCTGTCGGGTTTGTGAAATCTGCTGAAGATCCCAGGGGCACCCTGAATATGAAATAAAAGGTGGCACTGGAAAGGAATTGGAGAGAGGTGCTGGAGTGCACCATCTTGCTGCAGCTACTGCTGCTCAGTTGTTGCCCCTCTTGAAAARGGCTGAAGAAGCTGAATTTGTCTCTCCCCCCTTCTTTTTTTTCCTTTTTTTGAGCCTCACTTTCATTGCACRGGAGGGTCAGGGTTCATCCTTTTGCCCCTGGAGTGAGTACTTATTCCAGGCTTCCGTGAGCTTGGRAATCCAGGCTGCAGCTGAAGCTGTGAGTTTCGGTAGCCAGAAGGGATCATTTGCCTTTCTAAAATGTGAATGGTGAATCCACTCAGAGTAAAGTGGGTGAATGTGGGTTGGGTGACTTAAAAAAAGGAAGTCTGGGAAAACTGACATAGAACTTAAATTTGGAACTRTATGGCAGCATGCAAATAGGCTAAAACCCACAGGTTTTGTGAATCACTGCTATTTATTCTGTGCATTCTATACTATAGCACTGATCTGGAGACTTCTTAGAATGGATCCAGCCATTTACCTATTAATATATCCAATTTCTGTAGGCAGTTGCTCAGACATACTGGTCTTTCCCTTCATATAGGTGTTAAAATACTTGTAAAKTTAAGTGGGGTTTTGTTTATAGGTAAACTGAGCAGTCTCATTTTATTTAGCGATCGACACACAACATGCTGCGTCGTGCAAAACTGCCAAATCTGTTATAATA